GAAAAAATAAAATTTGATGGCTGGTGTGAAATTACCTGTAATTTCGTATGGATACCACAATAGAACAACTTGAGAAATTCCAAGAAAAACTAACTTGCTTTATTAAGAACCACTTAAACAATCTCAATAGATCTATTAAATCCGATTTACTTAATGTCACAACTTGACTTGAGATGGACCAATCCTTAATCTACCCAAAGCACAGTGGTCGAGACAAGCCTCACCAATTGCCAACAAAAGGATCGCAGCTTAGAACAACCTCTATAGCTCGATAACAATAAAATCCCCGAAATCTGTAACCTAGCTAATGAACTCTATCCGCAATATATACTAACTCATATCCTATTGTGATAAGTAGGAATCCTCCCTATATCTTCTTGTTTGTTGTCTAACAAACCTTATAGAATCTTGGGTCATTAACTTCCAATACGGCTTCCTTGTATTTAGCTCCATGTGTAACACACTCACTCACATGTGTGACACATCAGCCTCACGCTCAAACCTCTTGAGTCATCTTATGTGTGACATAATCTCTTGTCTGCGTAACACATCAATCATCATGCTCAGACACTGAGCTTACATTCTCCCCCTTTTTATCTTAATGTGACATCTCAAGCACTTGTCTCAAAACATACAAACCAAAATACCAAAACATCCAAGCATTTTCATAGAAACCAAAATGAAACACATTTCAAAATCATTCATTGACATGGTCTAGATAATCCAAAGTTACACATCCGAAAGTAGTTCATTCCATCCTAGATAATTCAACGACACAGAAACATGAAAAGTGAAACAAACGCAAAGTCACTAATATCTAGAAATCCTACTACTTCTCCTCATCATCACCGCTATCAATGATATGCACTGGTTCCTCTCCAACATACTCTCCCCCTGCTTAAGTGCATCATTATATAAAACACATTGAAACAAACAGAAGAAAGAATAGAAACAACTTACTTCGACTCCTAAGCTGAATCGCACGAAGATCATTGATGACTTTATGTAGATCATTAGCCAGATTGGGTAGTTTGGAAACTCCCCCTATACCTCTGTCTGCTTTACCATCTTTGACAAGAGCGGTGGAATGGCATGTGAGCTCTTCGTCTTGTTCACGGCGTGGTACAATTCTCTGAAGGTGCAGAAGCTGATAGATGAGTGAAGGAAAACAGATTCTTCTCTTGGTGTTTTCAGTAGAGTAAGATAGGTCCATAAGCTGTTCATAGACCACAATCCCAAAATCAGCTCTCTTGTTGTGATGAAGTGTATAGAGAAACCTCAGACGATCAGGGTGCATTCGTGTGTAGTTCATTGTTGGCATCCAATTCGTACAGCAGAGCTTGTACAAACCTGATTGTAAGTTGTGAGAAGTTTCGAGCACATTCCTTCCCACCTTTGGTGACGTCCCTTAGTAAGAAAAGTAACCACAGTGTCCAGATTCTCTGATTACATGTCATAGGAAGGATCACCGGGGCTTAGAGAATACATGAGATCGATGATGCTGGGGGAGACCTCATACATCGCTCCACGAACGTATACAACAACTCCACCTCCACCTCGAATGGTTGTAGCATCTTGGAGATTTGCCATAAACTCCCAAACAATATCAGGAACATAGGGTTCTCCATCGATGACCGTGTAAATCATTCCAGAGTGAACCACAACTTCTTTCACTTCCTGTAACTTTTCTTCATCAAGAGGAAGATACTGATGATCGATGGACTTTTTGTTCGAGAACTTCAGATACTGTTGATACGCTGCCTCTGTAGCAAACAGAGAACTGTAAGGTTTAGGACGAAGTTCAAAACTCTCAGGATCTTCCAGTAGTGATTCCTCGAACATCCGACGACCCTCCTCATATCGAGGTTCTTTGGGAAGGAAGGACATATTTCCTCTTGATCGACGCCTACTTGATTCACCGGCTTCAGATCGAAATCTCTTCTTCGGGACATCGGAGCTGTTGTCAGAGGATGGAGTTTGCGGAGAAGGTGAGGCTCCTTGTCGGGATTGAGTTTGTTGATGCATGTTGGGACACGAAGAGAACGAGAAAGCAAGAGGAAGCTTGATGAATCTGCGGCATCGGTTACCTAAGAAGCTCAATAAGAAAAAGCAAAAGAAAACCTAGGCCCTTTTTTTAAGGCCCATTAGTAACCAAAACAAACTCTTGAAGACCCAAACTCTTGACCTTACAAGTTCATTAATTCATTGTCATCGAGTGTCCTTAGATGTTTTAAGCTTCTGTAACCAAACACTCTAAGCCAGACACATTTGTCATGATGATGAGATCTCATGGTCTACCTAAGCAAGCCTATTTTGAGAATCAACTTTTATTATGATACTACATTCTGAGCTGAAAACTATATACATGCTCTTAATTCATGTTCCAACGAGATAGCTAGTTCAGGTATACTCTAACATGTGTCAAAGTAACCATCAAAAGAACACGAATAGAAATCAATATAGTAACTCCGATCTGTAGCTATTTCTCAGCCGAATAGCTGTCACAAATAGATTCACCTAGAGGAAAGACCAAGCCACCAAGGTACAAGTTTATCACAAACACACACTTCTGAAACCACTAGTCATGTCAAACACAGTCCACTTCTGCAACTATAGTGGATCTTTTTTCAGATACATATATTTTTTTTCTTCTTTTCCCTTTTTTTTAAAAAACATCATAAATATATTTCAGTTCCTGCCTGATCAAACAGTGATCACTACAGACTCAGAGTACGGCGATACCCTAATCCGAAATGAGTGCTTATCACTTCATGCCTTTATAGGAATCTTCTCCTTCTTCTTGAAATTACTGGAACCTCTGGATATTATGATGAGTATACAGCTATAGAAGTGGGGCAAGTAGTTATGCACCATCAGCTATCTTTATATTCAAATATATTTATTTGTTTTAGAATCCGGATTGAACTAGATGGCTGTTAAAGTTTCTGTTTACTATTGACAACATTGATATGAAAGCTACAGCTTCCAAGCATGTATGTTCAAACGTGAGCCCAAGAACTCTCCTCTTCTTCGTGAATTTTACCTCTAGCGCCCACTACTCCAAAGAGGCACCTTACCACTTCACTATTCAGTTTATTTTTCTGTTTACACATAGATCAGGCATTGGACGTAAGAAAGTGTACTTGCAGGTCAACCTCAAGGAGCAAAGTCATGCTCCGGAAAATCAAGATAGAGCCGTGTAGTCGTATGACCCAACTGCCAAGCTCGCCAGTAACTGGCCCGGCAGGAAGTTGTGAGATAGATCCAGACTTACAAGAAAGGTTAGCAATTACTTTTTCGCATGGGAGATTCCTAAATCAAATAACTGGTGGAAACTTCCTCGAACCATTTTGATGTTTATCATGGAACTATTGTGGTAGGTTGTTTGCGCTCAGTACATGCACTTATCCTCCAAAGCAATCACAGTTGCATATTCGAAGGGCCACCTAATTACAAGGTACTACCTTATTTCTAGAGGTTTGCTCTTATTGGCTGCGGAGCTTTATTAACCAAAGTAATTGGCCAGAGAATCCTCCTAATGTCACAGAAAAATTCGTACCACATGGTATTTGACATATAGTCTACCCAATATTTGAGTCATAAATAAATTAATAAGGAACGTGCTAAACATTTCTTTTTAGGCACACAAGTGTGATTCGGTGCAAGGAAGAAGTAGCTATATCAAAGTAAGATAAAAGAAAAACATCTCTATGTTCCAGGCACTCATGCCTGCACTTGGAAAATGATATTCCTGCCTGATTGGTGTATTGCTCTAGTCTATGATCCACGGGTTTGGCTGTTTGTAGCCGTCCCACTGAGACGCTTTGGGCACGGGACATTATTGGGACGTCTTGGAAAATTACCTAGACATTGATTTCTCTCCCTTTGATGAATACTGGAAAGAACTAAGGAGGATTTGTGTGCAAAATCTTTTCAGTGCTAAATGAGTTCACTGATTCAACCTATCAAGGAGGAGGAAGCTAGGAAACAGATCGATGCAGTCGCGTAATCAGCTTCTCGGAGAAGTCTGGTTATTTTGAGCGAGAAGTCTTGCTTTAATTGTAAGCGTAATACACAAGGCATTATTTGGTCTGAGTCTCCAAGGAACTGTTCTCAACTATGAAAGATTCAACAAGTTCATCTGCGAGATGTTTTTTAATGAAGATTTTCTTTGCCTCAAGTTCATCTGCGATATGTTTTTTAGTGAAGATCTTCTTTGCCTCAGATTTTTTTCTATATGGCGGCTGGATCATCGACGGGCTCACAGGGTTACTAGGCTGAACAAGGAAACAAAGACAGAGTTGAAGCTTTCGTGGACTCGCTCTCATGTTAGATAAAGAAGAAATTGTTCTTGGATATAGCAAGCTCACATATCAAAGTAATTCTGATGGTAACTATACAAATTCTGTTTGAAATTTACTCTTACAATATCTGAGATTCTAACATGTGTTTTTGTTGGGATCTTATCACATAATAACGTTCTTCTTGGAGCCATCAATACTTCTGCAATAACAATGATATTGGCAACAGCAAAACTTATGAGAAACCTGAGAGCGATGAAGACAGTATAATCTGAAACCAGAAATAAGATTGGGGAACAAATCAGCTTTGATGGCACAGATCAGCTCCATACCTGGAAATGATGAACAGAGAAACATGGAGCTAATCCTCCAGCTGATCAAAATATATTGCTGAATGCATGTCATGAAGGAAAAAATGATGATCATATATGTTGGGGCTCCCTATATATTGAGTGTGGGGATTGTTTTGTTGATCTTCTTTTCACTTTTCTTGATATGTCTGTCTGTTGTATGGAGAATATCTGGAAACGGAATCATCGTCAAGGATTCATTGGAAACTTGGGCACACGCTTGAGATATTCAGTCTTGATTACGAAAGAGGAGCTTCGGTTTTTAAATCATACCTTTTGAGTGGCATAAACTCCAAGAAAATATTTGTTTACTCATTATATGTAATTTGAGTGTAGGCCATTTATATTGCTAATACATGCTTTTATACACGAGCTTGGCTCTGCCTGTTTTGCCAAAATAGAAAATGCAACAAAATATCTACCAACCAACATGCAATATACGATGATACATAAATGACATGACTCATAATAAAAAAGGTAAACACCAATCTATCATTTTAAATACGCAAACCTGTAAGCAAATACAATTTGAAGATATTTTATATCAAATAAAATACAAAAACTATTTATCCTAACAGTTTCAAGTTATTTTATTTACCCCAAACTTTATTAATCAAGTTATATTCAAAATTATTTTAAAACGATTGAGAGATATATAAATGAAAAATAATTTAAAATAAATAAATAAATAAATATATATATAAATATATATATATGAAAGTCTAACACTTCAAAGTACATATGAGAGCATATGAATGAGAAGTAATTCAAACTCATGCAAAATCATTGTATCATTTAAATGACAAAGTTACCACACCTAATAATCTTTGGAAAAATAGTTACACTCACATACTGGCAGGGTTTTCTGACCAGCCTTGTGGAACTCTGCTGGAAACAACTGTATGCATTGTTTTGATATTGATATCGTGTGGATAAAACCGGTGCTTAATGCCGAGTTCGAGGAGGATCTTAATCACTTCTTCGACCAACACGGATATTCTTGACCATCTTTCAAGCATGTCTTGGTGATTAAATCTATGATCTGGCCAAATTACTAACCATATCATGTTCAAAGCTTCCACATTCTTTACGACGATCTTGTGTTCTTAGCTATAACCAACACACCACCTAAAAGACCAATGGCCATCAACAAATTCAAACAATCAAAAGACGAAGATGGAATCTCCTCAACAACCATCCGTGAGATAACTTGGTGAATGGTATAAGAGGAGCTCTATCGGCACATAAATCTTAGAGAGCCATCGACATGAGCTGAACGTGATTTTGTTAACTTATAAATTAGGAAATCATAATGTGAGGAGTACGTACTATCTAAACGACACTTCAGCACACATAATTTTAGATTAATGTGAGAGCGACATGTGGACAAAATAGTGTGAACACATTAAATGCTAATGTTTCTCCTTTAATATATAAGAGATACATCCTTTAATTCCATAAAGAAAAAACACATGCAAAGCTTAGAAACCATAAAAAATACAGTTGATCAATGGTTAGTCAAGAGGTTATAGCTTTTCCTTAATCCTAAACGCACATGCAATGCAAGAGTAGCACCAAGATGCTTATTTGGCTAACGTACAACTCTATGTGGTATCAGCGACCAAATGGAGTAATATGAATTTTCAGAAGGTCTGTTATAATCCAAAAAATATGAGGTTAGATTAAAGTGTGTAGAATAATAACTTTGTTTCATAATACTAAAAGCACATTAGGGGTAGCGTCATAGATGCCTAATTGATTGGTGTCGAACTTTTGGGAACCAAATGTTGAAACAAAATCTTAATAAGGTCAAAATTGTGGTATAGAAACAAATTGATGTTTGTTGGTTACAAAAATTGTTAGACCGTTTTTGCTTTCGTTTGAGGCAAAAAAAAGATGACGCCAGGTTTGTTCATCAAATTCAAGCAGGATTTTCTGACCAGCCTTGTGGAACTCTGCTGGAGACGACGGTAGGCATTGTTTTGACATTGATATCGTGTGGATAAAACCGGTGCTGAATGTCGAGTTCGAGGAGGATCTTAATCACTTCTTCGACCAAGACGGATCTTCTTGACCATCTTTCAAGCATGTCTTGGTGATTAAATCTATGATCTGGCCAAATTACTAACCTTATCATGTTCAAAGCTTCCACATTCTTTACGACGATCTTGGCTGATGGGTGCCAATACTCCGGCTTGTTGTCAATGTAGCTACATTGTCAATAAGAAAAAAAAGGATATGCACATGGTTTTCAAAAGTATAAAAAACATGCATAATAAGCACTAAAGGGCTAAACTTTTGTTTTTACTTTGATATTTTTTGCCTGATCGTTGCAATCTTTTCAGCAGGAGTAGTAATGTGGACACAGAACTCGATTGCGTCTCCCATGTCTGGACTGCGGTAGTAATTGCTGATAGATTTCTGCCATAGAAGACTATTTGGGTACATAATCTTCAGATTGTCATATCTCAAGAACACTGTGGTAAGTATGTTCATCTCCTCCACCACCAACTAATTTAAGATCGACATTTGTTAATTAGAAACTAAGTTACGTAAAAATTTCAAAGGTGAAACTTTTTGCTGTTTTTATTACCTGTACATCGTCAATCTCACAGCGATCACCAACATCATAAGGATGCACGATGAACAAGAAGATGATTGACTCGAAGACGGTCTTGACAGTGTTACCAAAGATGAAGGCCAAGAGTACAACTTGTGAACTTACAAAGAGAAGTACCTTGGAGGATGCAATTTCTAGAAGGACAAGCCATATGACAACTATGACAATGGCAGTGACAATATTGATCATGTGATGGAGCTTATTCACAGCTGTCTTGGTGTCGTTAAGAGTCAGGGCAAGAGCTCTTCGCTCTCTGAAAGCATTGACCTAATCAAAGTCAACAACAGAGTGATATACATATACAAAATAGAATCTTGGAGAATAAGCTCTTGATATATATATATATATATATGCAAATAGACAATTACCAGCCAGTTCTTTAAAGCTGATTTGCTAATCCTTCTTGTCTCTGGTGCTCCTTCGAATAGTCCCATTGTCTTCATCGCCTCGTCTTCTCGCAAAAATCTTATCAAGTCATCCAGGTATATGTTCCTTTTGTTCATTCAGATATATGAGTTTATCAGCAAAACTCAACATTGGTTCTAATAAAGATAAAGATAAAAGTAAACTAAGAACACACTTTGCGCCACGTTGAGCCACGTTCTTGAAAATCTTTCTTGCAGCTGCTTTAGCTTCTTTTTCACTTCGTATCTGTCTGGTGGATTCATCTTCGTATGTAGATTCAAGCATCTGCTCGTCTAATGTAGTAAGTGAAACATGTCTCACAATCTTCATTAGCCTCTTCATGTTCCAAGCTGAGATGTTCTTGTGGTTCATTCTGTGAAGGTGCTCCATGCTGATCCCACTATCAGCTGTTGTTTTCGGAATGATCGGTGAAAGTTTCGGATTCATCGCTCTCCCACTTTTTCCCGGTGCTAACGCCGCTGCGCAAAGATCCGGCGGTAAATTAGCACCTGCATTTTGCATTTTGAAAATCTCTTCTTGAGCCTTCTCTTCCTCTTCCTCAATCCTGCTCATCTCAATCATTGGAGGACCCGATAGCGTCTCGATCACGTACTGGTTAAACATAGCTTCTTGAATCCGATCAAAGTAAGTACTAACGTGGAAGGAAGAAGCCATGACTTTAACCACTAGGGTCTTGATCAACCACAAGATGGTGCTTAACAAGAAACACACCAGGATCTTGGTTACGTAAGGAAGAAACTTGCTCTTTGTCTCTCTTTGTACTTTCTTGTCAAACAAGAAATGCCACGCGAGAAGGACCATACCTAGCCAGAGACAGTTCTGAACAGCTCTTCGCACACCGTACACAAAGTAAAGAACCCTCTTTCTCAGGAGGAAGTTTCTTTCGATGAAGAAGACAATGATTCTGATCCCCCATCCTGAGACCAGCCTCCCACATATAAGAACAAGCAAGAACACTTCCCACTTCCATAAATGTAAGTTCCAAAGTCTCACTTTCTTCCAAGAAGGGATCGATAAACTACACGCTAATGCCGCTATTATAGCCACTAAGCTAAGCCACTCTAGCAAGATTATAGCGTCAAGTTTCGCTCTTTTATATTCATCAGGTACATCTTCATCGGCTAATGGATCATCTTCTTCATCAATATCCCCAAGTAACCCGGATTTCAACTGGCCAGATCTCCAACCAGAGTAAGGCGTGTCTTCCTCTCGTGGCGGATCTTGAAGCCTCGATCTTGTCTTAACCCTCGAAATAAGCTCTGACTTTCTCTGAAACGACGTGTTTGAAGTGCATCTCACAACCTCGTCTTCCTGCTGCTGTGTATCTTGATTCGTCCGCAGTGTCACGGATGAAGAAGATGATGGGGTAGTAGACGAAGAAGAGGCAACCGAACCGGTGAAGTTTGTACTACCAGCTCCTCGGACGTTGAAAGAGACTCGCAGTTCCCTAGATGCGTCGAATGATGTCCGAGCTGTTGATGCTGGCGTTGGTAATGTATGGCGACTCACGTCCTCCTCGTTCTCCTGATCCACATCGACTGTGATCTCTCCTCCTCCTCCTCCCCATTGCCGTTGTTCTCCTCCGGCCATTTTCGTCGGCGATTCCTCCAAAGGTGGCGGCTTTCCTGATCCGAAGTTGAAACTTCGGCTTAATCTACCACTCTTTCGAGTCATAGCGGTTGGTTCTCTACCACTGGTTCCTGCAGCCGCCACAGTGACGTGTTCAGAAGTTGCATTGTCTTGCCAGAAGTTGTAGCTAGGATCACGCTCCAGGGGTGCGTCCTGACCGTCTTCATGTATAGAACTAGAGCTCTCTGTTTTGTGTTGGTCCATATCGCGATGGTCGTGGAGAATCGGACGATGCTCAGGAGGGCTTGTCTCACTTTGATTTCCTGGGCTACGAATCTGTTTGTAAGAGCTGTGAGATTTGAAAGAGTTTCTAAAATCCATCCACAATGTGAAAACAAAAAATGAAGAAAAGAAAAACGGATTTACGAACTTTAGACAAGTGAACATAAACTTCGGCGCTTGTTGTGATGCATGGCACAAGACTTTTGACTAATTAAAAAAAGTGTTGCGTGTAATTGCATGGGGTGTAATATAAGCAATTAGAAGAACTTAAATATTTTCAAATAATATTAAGAGAGTTAAATCGTTATAACTATAAGTTGGGGGTAAAGAAGTGTCCAATAGCCACAATTTAAAATAGCTCTCTGATCTCATTTCTATATCTTCATCCAAAACTTTTAAAGAGAATTTGTTGATGTACACAAACTGAATCCTTGGCTCAACCATTGGAAATACGTCCTTGCAAACAGACGACATCCACTGTTAGAGATCATCATTACAGATTGTATTGGCCGACTTCTTCTCTTCAAAAGGGATCACTTTTACACGACCCCAATTTTACTAATGATCCTTGAGAATTTGCCAAATATAACGCAAAATATGATTTTAATTGTAAATCTATACCCAAATTTGAATCAAATGAAAAACTAACCTAAAAACCTTGTGAAATTACAGAAAGCTCTTTGTAACCAAAAAAAAAAAAAACAGCAATCATTTTTACGAATATAGCATAGTAAGTCGCCTGAGTCGTCTGAGATGATGGACTTCCAAGTTAGTCGTCTAAGGTAGTTGATCTTAAAAATAATTTATAAATTTTTAAAAAATATTTTGACTAATGAAAAACTAAGATCATGTAATTATAAACAATTTTAAGAGATGTAAATTAAGATATAATAAAACTGAATAGTTTTCAACATAGATAAGTGAAAGTAGTTGATCATGATATTTTTTGGTTTAAGGGTTTGACAACATATGTTATAGTACTGTATGTATTTTTAGGGTTAGATTTTGGAAAGCTTGAAAGTTTTTTTTGAAAAATAAAATTTTTATCTATATGTGTTTATTTCTGTATATAGTAAACACTTTTTAAGTTTAATTTGATTTTATGAAGTGTTTAGTTAGTTAATTAAGTTTAGAGGTTATGTTTATGGTCTAGACGACTAACTTGTAAGTCGTCGGGTGAATAATTTAAACCAGACTACTTACATGTAAGTCGTTTTAATCCCGCCTAAATTTTATTTTCCGGCTTGAATAGTATTTTATTTAGAAAAAAGAAAAATAAAATTTTACATAATAAGAATTGTTTACTAAACTAAAAATTAAAGTATTATTTTGAAAAATAAATATTTACCTATATGTGTTTATTTTTGTGTATGGTAAACATTTTAAAGTTGAATTTGATTTTATGACGTATTTAGTTAGTTAATTTTGTTTAGGAATTATGTTTCGGAAAAAGACTTACTTGTAAGTCATCTAGAAAATCTTCTATTTTAGTTTTCCGCTAAAAATTTTTTTAGTTTCTCGCTAAAAATATTTTAGTTTACCGCTAAAAATATTAAGTCTTCTGGACGACTTACTTTGAACCGAAAATATTTAACGTAATTGGATTTTTTTGTCTCTTTATATAAAGAAAATTTTACACATTCTATCTCCTTCTCTAAAATTGCTGCAACAAAAATGTAATGTTCATCATTCTAAAATTGTCTAACCTCTCTCTAATCTCTTTAAATTTATAAACACCAAACTTTATATTAATTTATTTTTGTTTTTTTCTCAAGTATTTCTCATTAATTTATCTTGTTTTGCAAGTTTTTCATCACATGATTCTCATCTTCCACTCATTTAAAGGTAGATCTATTAATTTTAGATATGTCTTTTTGTCTGTTTTATAAAGATAGATTTATCTATTTTTCCACTCTTTTTCTCTGTTTTAAGACATTTGAACGTTTATGAATATGCAGGTTTTCAAGATCAGGATTTAGATATGCAGGTTTTTCAGATCTGGAAGACTTCTGGAACGACTTAACTATTAGTCATCTAAAATATAATATGGTAGAAGACTTCCTGAAAATTGTCTGGAAGACTTCCTGGAAGTCGTTTGGAAGACTAAAATATAATGATCTATAGTTGTTTTGTTTGTGGTCTGTTTTGTGATTTGCATGTGTACTCATTTAGTTGTGATTTTTGTGTAAAATCAGTAATAATGTTTCCCAAGATGTAATATATGTGACAAAAATGTGTTTACATATTTACAAATCAATGAAATAATAAACTTCAGTAGCATTCTTCTCATCTTTGGATCTCACATATGCAAAATGGCTTTCTTCTCATCTTTTGATAGTCTCGTATTGATACAACATTTTACCATTTATCTAACTCATAACAATAATCACCATTGGTGTCTATAACAATAATTCTTAAGAGATGGAAACAAACAATAGTTACTAGTTAAAGCATATCACATTGTTTACAAGTTTGAGTTGAAAACTTAGTCAAATTTAGTAAAACAAAGGGAGAAAACAGATTTTGAAATATGAGATTGATATACCATGATTTTGTCCCACTTTTAGTCATTGTATATGAGTGTTTTTACAACTATTTATTTTATTATAAAAGTTTTAAGCATATTTATAGGTTCATGACTATTTTGGAAGAAAGTGGTGTTTTTGGAGCATTTTGCAGAGACTTAGAGAAATCACTCGATTTGGATATCAACAAACACATGGAGGTCGACATGTAGTGTTAATAATCGCTCGATATTCTCTTAGCAGTATCGATCGATACCAAAGGGGCGGAAGACAATTTCGCGACCCAGTTGACTTGAAGCGCAAGACTTCACCTAACTACGATTATGCCCCTGACGAGTTTTTACTTAAGTATTTATACTTTGCCAAAGTGTTTTAGGCAAAGAGAGCTTTCTTGTATTCTTATTTTAAGAACGAAAGGTATTTATACTTTTCCAAAGTGTTGGGAGAAGATCCAGAGAGATTTGTGACTGGAACTCCATTGCTATCTATATATCTATTTTATGAAGTTTATTTACTTTTCTTGTGTTATGAATTGCTTAGCTATGTCTGAGTAATTTAACTGTTAGGTTTAAGATTCAATTAGGTTAGAGGGAGTAGCCCAAACTATAGGATCGCTTGTTGTGGTATTCATTAATAGAATTTTTTTAATGCTTATGTTCTAAACTTGCTAACTAGAAACCTGAACCTAGAGATTTGGTTTGTTATAGCGAGAGTTAAACAGTACTGACTTCCTGAATCCATTCTATTAAGCTAGAATTTTAGTAGAAATATGGCGAGAGCTTGATCTAGGGATCTATAGTGAGCATATATTGACTCGCGCATAAAGCTTAACTAGCCGCATCGATCGATAATCCTATCGGAAATCGATCGACGTCGTTAGAACTGAATCGATCAATATTCATATAGAATAATCGATCGACACTGCTATCGATCTACACTCTTGTTTGGATCAATAGGTCTAGTTAATAAACAAATTCAGTAAGAGAGAGCCCAATGAATTAGTTATTTAGTGGTTAAGCTCTTTAATACCATGCAGACAACTAATTAGCACCTATAGGATTATAATCTCCAACACGTGAATAGAAACTCTAAGTCTAACACCTTTCTAATTAAGTCACAACCTTCAATCAATTTAGTGGATCAACTCCCTTTCTCAATTAGGATTACTGCTATCTACTATTTTTCTCATTACTACAATTTAATTTACTTTCAACCTACATTTATTATTTGATTAGATTTAATCGGTTCCCTAACTCCTTGTGGATTCGATCCTAAGTACTATAATTGATCTCTTGTTTGACAGAGTAAGTCACTCCTTAGAGTAATTTGAGTGATATCAAATTAGTCGCCTCTGCTGGGGAGCTTTGATTGCCAATTAATTTAGTCTAATAATTCTAGCTTATTCTATTTTTTACCCCCTTCTTACACAAAATGTTTTCTTGATTTTTCAGGTGATGCACAACATTACCAGGAGCAACAAGGAAAAACAACTACTGTTCTCATAAGACCCAACAAGCTTTAAACGTTCGATCCGCAAACACCTATGCTCCACATCGATCTATATCAACACTCGCATATCGACCAATTCACGCCAACCACTATCAACTGATTCCGCTTTTAAATCAATTGACATCAACACTTCATCGTCGACCGGTTTCATACACTTGACATCGATTGGTACCGCACATCGTACATCGATCGATACTCAGCTGCGAAACATAGTTGCGATTCTGATACTCACGCCATGATAGAATGGAGACCTGTATAACCAGGAAGGTCATCTGCGTAATGCAGCAGCTCAGAGAATAGATGACCAGGGGACTGTAATCCTTGAGCATGATACTTATTAGGTTGCTGGACCCAAGACCTTGGCAGACTACAACCGTCCAGATGAGTACTATGCCAACAGGTCAGCTAATCGTCTTCCAGACATCGAAAGGGAAAATTTCGAGCTGAAGCCCCAATACTACACACTCGTGGCACATATACCCTACTATGAGTTACCCCACGAGCATCCTATGGACCATCTTGAGAAGTTCGAGGATCTTATTGCTGCTATTAGAGTTCATGGAATCTCTGAGGATTACCTACTTTTCAAGCTCTTCAAGTACTCACTTGCTGGAGATGCTTCGCTTTGGCTCAAGCAGTTACCACCAGGATCTCGTACATCCTGGACCGACACCAAGAACGCATTCCTGTGTAACTTCTTGATGAGGCACGAGCTGAAGAACTGAGGAGCAAGATTGCTACCTTTATGTAGAAAGCTGGAGAGTCTTTGAAGGACTCTTGGATCAGATTTAAGTTCTATCAGCGAGACTGTCCACACCATAGATTCAATGAGGTGCAGCTACTCAGCACTTTCTTTTGAGGTATCGCTATGAATTATCAGATGGCTCTTGATACATCAAGCGAATGGAACTTCAACACAAGAATTCAGAGGAAGCTGTGACACTTATTGAAAATCTAGCAAACAGTAGCAGCACCAAGAACTCTGACTCTGAAAGGAAGAAATCAGTTGAATTCCTTGGGAAGGAGCAGATGGAGGAAGTGAAAGCAAAAATGGATGTTGTCAAC